CGGGAGGGGATTGAAGAAAGTGGAAACACACGCTGAACTCGTGCGTACGGAAGGCCGGGGCCGGCTGTTTCCCCGCTCCCGGGGCCCAGGCTGTGGCGCTCACCCAGCGGGCGCCCAGCAGAGCAGCCCTGAAAAGGGCTGTTCACAACCAGCCCCGCTGTCGCCTAAGCCAGGACGGCAGCCTGGGAGCAGAGCTGCGCGCTGTTTGTTCTTAGAAGTCTCGGTGGACCCCAGCCCTTGGCCTCCGTCCCCCCGTGGCCACTCTGCTGTGGGGCTGGGCTGGGCAGCCCTGGCCATGGTGGGACCCCAGGCCTGGCCCTGACACGTCCAGCCACGGCCTGTGTGCTCAGTGCAGGGAAGACGACGTCGTCACACTCGATGTTCACGAGGGAGGTTGTGGTCAGGCCCGCGGCAGCCTCTGAAAGCAGCTGCTCCTCACGGGCACGTGGGGGCTCTTTGGTTGGTTTCCTCACCAGCTGCCAGACACCTGCCCGAGGGGGCTGAGCCAGCCCAGTGGACACCAGGCCGCTGCCTCGTCCGTCTTCCAGCCCGGGCAGGACATGCGTCCCCAGTGTGGTGCCTGGCAGGACCTCGGATCTGGCTCTCCTGTGGGCAAGGCGGGGGAACCAGCGCAAACAGCAGCAGGGAAGTCTCTCGGGGCAGCCCGGGTCTGGGTGTTTGCTTGGCCTCTGCTTGGGTGGAGACTTGCAGTTCAGCGACTGTCTGCAAACACTCCTCAGCGCGCATAGCTGGGGAGTGGCCGTCCACCCCCCTCCGTCACCTGCTGAGTGGCCTGGGCCTCACACTTCCTCGTTAACAAAACAGAGCTGAGGGCCCAGCCATGGCGGCAGCACCGGCGCCACGACTGTGTAGCCAGGCACGTAGTAGGTCAGGCACGTAGTAGGTGCTCAGTGCTACAGCGGAAAATCAATTTCCCTTGCCATCCTTTGTTCAGCCCCAGAAGATAACAGAAGTAGAATATAGCTACTAGACTGATCGACTGATAATTATAAACAATTACAAAGAACAAAGGGAGGAAAATCTTTACTCCGTAATCCATATAGACCCGCTGCGATTAAAGCTGCTGTTTTGACTGGAAAACTAAGAAAACATGATGAGAAAATTGCAGAGACATTTGAGCAGCTACCTTCTATGCATGTACATTCATTAAAGGAATTTTAAAATATAAAATATTAGGGCTGCTTTCAAAATACATAAAAGTAAGGAGATTAAAATGAGTCTAAACACTGCAAGGCTCGATCTGGCGGGGCTGGGCCGCCCGGAACCCGTGGGCGTGGCAGGCACCAGCCAGGCCGGGCCCCGAGCGCAGACTGAAGTCAGAGGAGCTGGGCTGGATGATGGGGCGGGGGCCAAGTTGGCAGGACCGCGCAGCCACAGTTTGTTCAGCGCAGTTGGGTCTGAGGGCGAAGCTGAGTCTCGGGCCTGAGAAAGTATTAGCAAAAGTGATCGCAGTTGCCTCTCGGAGGCTCTGCTTCTGGAACGAGGGGGACACCTTCCATGCCTTTTCTCCCCTCCTCCTCGGCCCAGCAATGTGGACACTCTGTGTTGAGGCTGCAGAGGTGGCGGGACTTGCCTGAGAGCACAACTAATTCCTGCCTGCCGGGCCGCCTGCACCTGCCGCGCCTCTCAACAGGGGCGCCTGGAGGGTCTGCAGGGCTGTCGTGTCGCGTGGGGCCTCACCGTGGCCGTGACTACAGCCTGGCACGGGCCGGTTCTGCTGCTAGAAGAGGGTGCAGGGTCCCAGCAGAGAGAATCTGCGCCTGCTCGGTGCGGCTCACGCGTGTGCTCCTGCACACCTGTGCGTGCATGCACGGGCCGGGCGGGCGGCTCACTCTCCGGCGCTCACCTCTGCGCGCTCGATTTTGCACCACTTTGTTACCTAGTCAAAAAAAAAGGATGAACTGAAATCTAAAGAGTGGAGATAAGGAGATGGAGGAGGAAATAGCTTTTGCTTCCTTTTCCTTAACTTTCAGGAAAACGGAGCTGCCTTTTTTAAAAAACATGGACCTTTTTTCTTTGGTGTTTTCATAACTGACTCTTTCCAGGAGGAAACCTGTCAGGGAAGCTCAGAATTACCCGTTAAATTTAAGTGGAAATGCGTTTCCAGTGGTGCCATAAAGGCGGGAAAGTGGCCTGCGGCGTGTGCCCTCTTGGCGCCGTCCTGCCTGGAGCCCGAGGCTGGGGCAGCCAGAGCTGCTGGAAGCCCCAGGCCCTAACAGCCTGGGCTCCTGCGTCCTCCTCCCAGGACGGCTGAAAATCCTTTCTCCAGAAAGTTCTGACAGTGCCCGATTGCCAACCTGCCCAGAAAACCACCGGTGACTTCAGAGAGGAGGGGGGCGGATCCTTTAAGGCCGGGCGCTGAACTTGCACGCTCCCCCCCGACGGGCCCCTCACTTCACAGCCCTGCTGCCCGGTGGGCCCTGCCTCGACCCTGGCTGGCCTGACATACTTCCAAGGAGAGCCCCCCGGGACGCCCGCACCCACACCAGCGTCCCAAGGTGAATGGCTGCCCACACCTGTCGATCAGCCACCTCGTCCCCTCCCCTCACCGCCTCCAGAGACCACCGTTCCGGACTTTGATTCTGAGGGTGACGAGTTTAGACTCCTTGTAAAGTGGAAACATAAACCACTGCCCCTTCTGCCTCGCTTTTTTCACTGAGCAGCCATCTGTGTTCACTTATGTCAGAATGTCCTTTTTTAAATTTATTTTACACAAGAACCGGGGTACATGCCCGATGCGCAGGAGGGTGAGAGGACTCACCAGAGACAGAGCGGGGAACAGAACAGGCAGACTGACTGAAATACGCTGCTGAGGGGAGCAGCGGATGAGACAGGAGAGGTCTGCGGTGCCATGTGGGACCCTCGCTGGCTGGCTGGGATCGAACTGGCGCTGCAGAGGCTGCGGACAGCTTCACAGCGCGGCGCTCACCTGCCTGCGCCACCAGGGAGGCCCAGAATTTCCTTCTTTAAGGCTGAGTAGTGCTCCCCTGTGTGGCTACACCAGATCTTTATCCAACCAACGCGGGCATGGAGGCTTTCCCCATGTCTCGGCTGCTGGGGTCAGCGCTGTAGTGGACGTGGGGCGCAGAGGCCTCGTCCACCTGGTTCCGGTTCTTGGAGAAATACCCTGAAGTGGGATTGCCGGGCCGGATGGTCACTCTGTTTTCAATTCGAGGCGCTCCCATTCTGCTCTTCATAGCAGCTGCACCCTCTGCACCCCAGCCGCCAGGGTTCCAGTTCTCCATCCTCGCCAACATCCCCGGGTGGGGAACCTGGCATTTTTGGCTCTGAACTGCATTTCCTGGGCTGAAAATGGACGCAGGGCGGCAATAGACATTTCTCCAAAGAAAACATGCAAGTGGCCAACTGCTACATAAAAACGTTAAGACACAGTCACCTGCAAACCCAGCACTTTCGCGGGCCCGGGACTCCCCACTCTGGGCGCCTCCAGCTGCACCCCGGCCCGCGGTCCAGCCGCCTTTCGCCCAGTCACGCGGCCAGACGGGGCTGAAGCCTCCGCATCAAGCTGGGTCGTCTTCAGCTGTCCCCAGCTCAGCCTCCGCTGCTGCTGGCGCTGCTCCCCCACGCCGTGGCCACGCCTGGCCCGCCCCGTGCCCGGCCGGCAGGACACCACCTCAGCTTTCCTCTGTGTTGTATCAGAGACGCGTTGTGTGCCAGTGGGATGTGCATGGCCGGCGCCGTTCCTTATTTACCTTTCCACCGGCTTCATCTCACCGTTGAGAGACCGTGGCTGTTTCACTCCCACGTCTTGTCGCGCTGCTTCCCGTGCACACTCGGCGTGGGGAGGACACAGGACACTCCGACCCCGGGGACCCGTGAACGTGTCCCCGTCTGTGGAAAAGGGGACTCGGCAGGGGTGACAGAGGCATCTTGAGCGGGGAGGGTATTCAGGGGACCTGTGTCATCCCAAGGGGCCAGGTCAGAGGCGTGGGAGACGGACCCGCAGCCCAGGGGTGGAGGTGGCCAGGAAGGGGAGGGGGGTGCCTCCCTTCTAGCCTTCCGGGGAACCCTTCCTGCCAGCCGGGGGCCGTGCCATCCGTCCACACGGGACGCTGTCCTGTCACCCCCCGAGGCTGCGGTCACCAGCCTGCGCTCCACAGGGGTCATTAGAGTGAACCTGACCGTGGACTCCCTGCGGAGAGCCCTCGGGCGGGCACCACCCACGGGCCTGCCCCGGCCTCCAGACCTGCCCTCGGCCCCTGCCCCCGCTTCCTTTAGGCGGTCCCTGCCCTCCTTGCCGCCCAGCCCGTGTGGGTGCTCGAGGAGAAGTTCCCTTGGCAAGTGCGCACGACCCTCGGGGCTCCCGGCAGTGCCTGGCGCTCACCCCTGGTCACACGTCCAGTCAGGAGACGTTTTACAGTCACGTCAGGAAAGCCCTGGGCCGGGCCTGACGCGGTTTCCGTTTCTGGCCCCTTCACGGGGCTGGGTGCGCGTCCCGAGTATGGGACATGGTGTCCATCCGAGTTACTCTCTTGGCCAAGCCCCACAAGAGAGGCCTGTCCTGACACGTCTTTTAGGACCCAAAAGCACGCTCTTTGGCCTTGAAACATGCCTGTCCTGGAAGAGCAATGAGAATGGGGGGAATAAAGCCCCGGCTCGTGCGCTCAGTCCTCACTTAGCAGGTTCTGGAAACTAACATTAAGCAAAACGACGCACAAGCAAAGTGGGCCCTTGAATGCAGCTGGTCAAGGTCGGCCGGGGTCGTTGCTGCGCATCGATGTGACACCAGAGGCCTTGGCCAGGAGCTGCCCTGGCGCCTCCAGAACGGGCGCCCACAAACTAGCTGGGAAGCGCAGCTGTGTGGGTGCTTCTGAGAGAAAACTGACCTGGCAAGAGGGGCTTCTTCACGTGACCGGGGACAGCAGTGCCCACGGCTGCCGGTCCCCTGGCTGCCCAGCGGAGGCACCCCCACTGAGAGCCCCACACTAACCAGAATCCCCCCCCGCTCTGTCTTTCAGCGACGTCACCCCCCCTGGAGACTCGGTGAACAAGAACAGCCGGCCCAAAGCGGCGTCGCGCTTCCCCAAGCTGTCCCGAGGTCACCCCAGGGAGACGCGCAACGTGGAGCCCCAGAGCGGCGACCTCTGACCTCGACGGACCCCAGACTCAGGCCTTACGTGCTGCGCCGGCCCTGCACCCCAGCCGCTCTGCGTCCGACCTGGCCATGGCCGCGGTCCTTCACCATTGGAGGGACCACCCCGTCCACCCGGGGCGCCCCAGAGACACCCTGATTAAACTGGTCAGTCTAGAGCAGGCGGCTGGCGCAGGACGAACGGGGACGCGCCTCTCCGGGGCTGCCCACCCCCTCCTCCCGCCCCGGGGCCAGCGGGGGGCGCGGGCCGAGATGCAGGACGCTGCTCCTTCACGCGCCAGAGGGCTCGCTCAGAAACCACCTCTTGACTCTCCCAGGGGGAATTAGCAAGGGAGACCCTCTTTCCCTGTTTGTAATATAATTGCCTGCTACACCTGGACACGTGGGGCTCGGAGGACTTGTTCCTTTCCACTTACTCTCCCGCGGGGGTCCCTAGACACCCCAGCTGCAGCCACCGTGGCCGGCGGTAGCTCCTGGACGTCACTGCCCAGGGCAACATTCCAGGGCGACACTGAGCTGTGGTTTTGGAGACGCGCCCCGGCTTCCTGGCCTGGCTCCCGGAGGACTCGGCCCCGCCTGAGGTCACCTAGGCCACCGGGCACCTGGTCAGGCCTGGTGGGCCCCCGCTGTGAACAGCGGCCCCATGCTGGGAGCCCCGGGCTGCTCAGAGTCGGTGGCCTGGGACTCCCAAGCCAAGAGGCCGCAAGGCCGAGAGACAGACAGTGGGCGCCACTTTGGAAGTCCCCACAGGGGCGCTCTGTGAACATGGGCACACGGTCCACTGCACAGATCAAGCTCACCCCTAAGGACAGGTTCGGGGTGCAGCCTCCGCCTGCCCACAGGCGCTCATCGGGAGCAGGCCGTGTGCCCTGTCCCAGCAGAGTCCTCTGCGCCTGCCTCTCCGAGCAGCCCTGGGTGGGCCGGACAGGCGAGGACGCGCGCCCAACCCCCCGGCACTGGCAGTTCGCCTCCGGGGTGGAGCCCTCAGCCAGCCTCACCCTCTGGAATCATGGAGTGACCCCAGCCGGGTCAGGAGCATCTGCAGCTGCGAGGACAGCTACGAGTTTGCATTTTCTGGGGCCACACTGAGAAACTAGGAGGTCGTGAAATAGATGACGAAGAATAAGCAGCCCCGAGGGAGGCAGATGTGGGGTGTCTGAGGTGAACGCGGGTGAGCGGTGCCGGCGCAAGGCCGCTGGGTCGCCTGGGAAGCAGCTGAGCACGGCCTGGCAGGGGGTGGCTGCTGTCCACAGGAGTCAGAGATGTTCTAGAAAGGGTGTGGGGTCTCCTCCTAGTTGGCCCCGGTGTCTGTTACAACCCACCCCGCTTGGATCCCAGCCCTGGGCGGCGGCTGTGGCTCTCTACTCCGAACACAGCCCCGCTGGCCTCGCTGGGTCTCCGCCCATCAGGCGTGGAGTTGGTCTCCCAGGCCGCCGCCCCCAGAGGAAGAAGAGAACGCCCAGGCCAGCGAGCTGGAGGGGGGGACAGTGCACCCCGAGGACAGGCCGGGCCTGCCTTCGAGGCCACGTGTCCACAGTGGGGACCACGGAGCCTGCTGTGGCTCCAGACTGTGCCACAGGTGGCCTAGGTGACCTCAGGCTCCAGACTGTGCCTCGAAAGGACGCGTCCCCTCTGAGCAGTGCCCAGGGCCTGAGGAACACTCCTGGGAGGGAGCCAGCCCCTCTGCGGCCCTGTCTGGCGGGGGCTGCTGGAGCAAGAGCAGCAGAGAGGGCAGCGTCCCTGCTTCCCCCACCGCCCCCCAGAGGAAGCCAAACTCAGGAAAAACGGAACTGGGCATAGCTGTCTCGCTTTAAAAGAGAAAACCAAAGGGGGCCCCGAGGATGGTGGGCACTGGCCGGGAAGCTGCTCCCGACCCAGGACTGAGCTCCTCAGGCAGCTGGCGTCCCACCTGGCACAGCACCTGCAGCACCCAGGGCTCCCGGGACCAGGCACGTTCCTCCATCCGGGCCCGGGGCAGCGGCTTTCAGGGAAGAAGCAAGTCTGTCCCAGGCTGCTGCCGGTACCACCCGCTGGCGGGCACTCCAGGGGCATCCTGCTTCCGAAGGGATGGCCTGACTGGGCTGTGAAGACTCTTGCAAGACTTGGCAAGAGGAGGGTGCAGGCAGGTGATGGGTGCGGCTGGGGGCTCCGAGCTCATTCTTGTGGGCTCTGTGGCCACCGCTGAAATGTCACCACGGTGCTTGGTCGCTTGTGGTGCCCTTAACATAGAGGCCACAAGGCTGGCTACAGCCGGGCTCTGACAACGCAGCGGGCACCGATGGCGCTGCCCCTGGCCCCAGCGGCGCTGCTTCCGCGGAAATTCATCTCCCACCCCAGAGCCAGGGCTCAGTCGTGGCTCCCCTTCTCGGGCCTGCAGGGCACAGTCCGCCCGCCCGAGCACCAGGGCACGGGTCTCAGGCCCTGCCCTCTCCCCGTCACGCTGGTCTTTGAGCAGCCGGAAGATCTGCCAAGGACGCCCCAACGCCCCCTAGTAACAGACCCGGCCAGGCGGCGGCCCGGGAGGGCACCAAAGCCAGTCAGGACGTCCCGGTGTTTGGCTAATGCAGGGGCCCCGCTAGGCCTCCCCACCCGGCCTGCAGGCTGTGGCTCGGCCGTCGGGGGGCGCCGTGGGCCGGGGGGCCTGCTTCCCAGCAAGGTCTTCAGCAAAGGATCATTTTTCAAAATATTGTGCATTGTTTCATTAAAGCTCACGTTAAATATTTGGCTTCTGTGCTCGCGCCGCACAGTTGTCGCGCTGTATATTTTATCTCCCGGGTCTGTGCCAAAACCTTCCTTTTCATGTTTCTGTAACACGCAGTCGTGATTCCGTTTCTAAAATAAACCTTCAGCTACTGGATCGAGAGGAGGGGTGCGCTGGGCTCCCCGCTCCCAGGGGACCCGTCTGTGCGGCCCCCCGTCGGGCTCGCGCCCCGCCCCGCGCCTGCCGCTGGCCTCGCAGCCCGCCCGTGGGCCCCGCCCGCCCGAGCCGAAACCCCGTTTCCCTAGAAAGCGGCCGGCCGCGCAGACATTCCACTGGGGCGCTGCAGCGGCCCCGAGGCCCAGGGCGCGGGCGCGAGTGGTTCCCGCCACGGAGCCGCGGCTGCCCGCAGGTGCCGCCCGCCAGGCCCACCAGGCCCACCAGGCCCGCCCGCGCCAGCCGCCCGCGGGGCCGGGCGTGCAGGGGGACGGGGCAGGCGGACAGCACGTCCCCACCCGAGCTGCTCCCTCTGCCCTGCAGGGAGCCCCCAAAGCAGACATCTCCGGGGGGCGCGCGGGCTTCTTCCTCGCCAGGGCTCGTCCTCAAATGTCTTTACCTCCGCGGCAGCCTTCGTGCCGCCCGCCCGGCACAGCCTCCGCCGAGCGCCCGGGCCTGCCTGGCAGGAGCCGTGGGGCCTCGGCTGGGGAGGGGTCCGGGGCCTGCCCAGGCCCGCGCCCACCCGGGGTCCCGTCCACTCCGTTCGTCAGGGAGGCCCGAGCCCGCGGCTCCCCGCGCACACGGTCTCCTCTCGGCGGCCTCTTCCTGCTGCGGGTTTACACGACAGACTCTTTGAACAAATGGGTTTAATTTTCTAAGCTCTTGTATTGAAATTTTCTTTTGGAATAAACTGTGGTCATTTTGTTACGGTTTGGTGGCCCGACACCTCTTTACGCTGACAATAAAGGGGTGACGTTTTGTAAAGCCGAGGCTCGTGCTGTTTGTCCCAGGGGCTCCTCGGGTGGGACCCCGGGAGGTGCGACCGGGCGCCTCCCAGAGACGCTCCCCGGGCCCGTCAGCCCCCGCTCCGCAGGCCGCCCGCGCGGGGGCCTTTCATCAGACCTGCGTTTTATTTGAATCAAAGTAGAACAAAACCCCACTTGGCGTGAACCATGAGTTGGACGAGAGCCAGATTCTCCCGGGGGGTCAGGACCCCCCCGGGTGCCCCGTCGCTCCTCCCTGTAAGAAACGCGCGGTGGCCCCGACTCGCCGGCCGGGCGCGCGGGGGGCAGGAGAGCCTGGCCATCTTGCTGATGGGCGCAGTGGGATTTTTATAAAAGTTCCCCACCCGGAGGGGCGCAGGCCGCGGTCAGAGCCGCGAGGGGCGAGCGGGACGCCAGGGGAGGGGCAGAGGCACCGGGATCTTCCTCGCGGTCTCCGCCAGGGCGCCCCGGCCCTGCTGACATTTGGGGCCGGGACATTGGGTGTTGAGGGGTCTCCAGCGCCCTGGACTGTACCCCCTGGATGGGGGCCACCCTTTCATTTGTGACCAGCAGAAACGTCTGCAGACACGGCAGGAGGCCCTCGGGCGGGTGGTCCTCAGCGGAGAACCCGGGCCGCGCCGAGGGGCTGCTGGGCGGAAGGGACCTTTCGGCCGAGACCCGAGAGGGGGAAAGCGAGGCTGTCTCCCCCTTACACGGCCCCCACTGATGCACGTTGGCTGGAAGAGACTCACTGCTCAGCCAGACGTTTGCTATTTCAGGCCTAATCACGGTGACTGCGGAGGAGAGAGGGCCTCGAAGGCCAGCCCAGGCATGCGGGCCGTCGCCAGGCCCCCAAACTACGCCCAAGGCCGCGCGGTGCGGTGTCCTTGCTGGGCCGATCAGACCAGAGGGCCGAGGCTGGGTTTTGAGGGTACCGCACCCTGCTCAGCTGCGTGGACGCCCCCAGGCCTCCCCGGTGCTGTGCCCTCTTCTGTGTCTGAACAGATCAAAACCCGAGCGCAGACAGACAGCTGCTGCTCACCCGCACAGGCGGCGGCGGCGCGGCCTGGGGGCTGTTTCCGCAGGCTGGATCCTCTGGCCTCGCGCTCCTGCGGCCCAGTCTCCCTCCCCTCCTCGGACACCTCCAGCTTCCAGCCCGCGCTGGACGTCCTTAGTACCCCACTCAATAAAGGGGAACCATGAAAACGATCAGGAAATAGAGGACAACACAATACGCCAACTAGGTCGGCAGACACAGGGTCCTGCACGCCCGTGTGTGCAGGGCCACGCCAGGGCCAGGCCACAATTAGTCTCCACAGACTTAGAATCACACAAAGTGCCTCCTCCGGCCATAGCGGCACAGAGCTGGAAGTCAGCCACAGAAGGGAAACTGGAACATTCACAAAATCGTGGACATTAAGAAACATTTTTAAATAACCAATGGAACGCGTAGAAATTGCAAGGGAAATTAGGAAACACTTCAAGACGAATGTGAAGGACATATCGAAACTCAAGGGTCTCAGGAGAAGTGGCGCTAGAGGGGACTTCACAGCTCTCCGTGCTGACATTGAAAATCTGGCTAGAGCTGAAGCGAACAACCTACCTTCATAACTCACAGAATTAGAAAAAAGACAAAGGGAACCCAAAGTTTCTAGAAGAAAATAATAATGATGAAAGTCGAGAATAGAAAAGCAATCGATAAAATTAATAAAACCAAAAGTTGGTTCAGTTCTTTGAAAAGATCAACAAAATTAAACAATTAGCTAGATTCAAACTACTAACGTCAGAAATGAAATGAAAATGAGGAGATTGTTATTGATGCTACAGAAATAAAAAGAATTACAGCGAGTGCCAGGGAGGGTTGTGAAGCAACAAATTGCACGATCCGGATGAAATGGACAAATTCCTAGAAATGCAAGACCCGCCAAGACTGAATAGAAGAGACAGCATCTCAATAACATGTAACTCGTGAGGCGATTAAATCAGTCATCGAACAAATCCCCACCTGGACCCGACGGCTGCTCTGGTAAATTCTGCCCAACATTTATACAGAACTAATGCCAGTGCTCCCGAGCCGGTCTCAAACACCGAGGAGGTGGGAGTATTTCCTAACTCATGCTTTGAAGCCAGCGTCGCTGATGGCAAAGCCAGAGACTGCGGGAAAGGAAACCACAGGTCGTGGGCCTCCCTGGGGGCGCGGGGGGTTAAGCACCGCACTATGAAGCTGTCCACAGCCTCTGCAGCACGAGTTCGATCCCCGGCCGGCCAGGGAGCTACCCACATGGCGCAGCAGACCTCTCCTGTCTCCCCGCTGCTCCCCTCAGCAGTGTCTTTGGTCAATCTGCCTATTCTGCTCCCCACTCTGTCTCTGGTGAATCCTCTCACCCCCACACCTCTGGCCTGTACCCCAGTTCTTGTATGCATAAATAGATAAATCTTTAAAAAAAAAAAAAAAACTACAGCTCGAGATGCTTGCTGAGGACTGGGGCAACAGTCCAACAAATCTCTAGCAAACGAAAGCAGCACCACACGAGAGATGAGGCACCGTCACAAAACGGGATTTCCTGCTGGAGTGCAAGGAAGGCGCAACGCGCAAGAAGCGAGCAGTGACCAGAATGGAGGAAAGAGCCGCACGGGCGTCCACTTGTGCAGAGAAAGCGTCGGAGAAGCCCGTGCCCTTCCAGGATTTAAAAAAAACAAGCAGAAAAACACTCAGCAAACGGGAAATCGAAGGACTCTCCTTCCACCTACAGAAGTTACGCGTGGAAAACTCACAGCGTCATCGGGCGGCCGCGACGACAAAGCGCTTCCTCCAAGGTCGGGGACAGGACGAGGAGCGCGAGGGGCTGGCGGGAGCCGGCAGAGGCGCCTGCTAAACGCCCACCCCGGCCGGCGTGTGCATCCAGCCACCCCGCAGCCACCAGGTTGTCCCCCACGAGGGCAAGAGCCCGAGGCTGTGAGCCACCCCATCCCCCCACGGTCACTGGGCCGCCAGCCCCAGCCAGGGGAAGCAATGCACGGGGCGAGGTGGGGCCCGGGGAGCGTGCCCTCTTGGGGCGCCGTCCTCCCCACAGCTTCACGTGCCAACGCCAAGGCTCTTCAAGGCCCTTCCTCCTGGGCCCCTGCGGCGGCCTCACCTCTGCATGGGCGAGATGGACCCCCTGGTCGTCGGCAGCTGACCTCCAGATCCTTTACCCACCCGGGGGGCGGGCGTCCTTTGCGGACATCAGGGGTGCTCTTACACATGCTAGAGGGCACCGCACAGCCCTCCTCTGCCCCCCCAGCAAAAGAGTCCCTGGTGGAGAGCCTCCGCCTGTGAAGGTGACAGACACCTGGCTCACCCCAGCGCTCCCCAGTGGCTTTGCGGGAATGTCGCTCTCCCCGTGAGGCTCCCCCGATTCACCCCCTGTGACACTGGGAGTGACCCTTCGACGGAGCACCGCCTTCCCCAGACACCCCGCCTCATGTCTCCACGGTGGGCATCCCCCGACTCGCCAGTGCACCCGTTCACCAGTTCCTGTCTCCCCCCCCACCCCGCGCGATTGCTGCTCGCTCTCTGCGTCCGTCACCCACACCCAGGGCGGGCGCGCAGTAGCCGTCGGGGGGTGGAGGGGCAGCTGCCTGGATTCCAGGCTACACGGGAGGAGACCAGGGCCAGCCTTGAACCCCGTGCCCAGCCGTTTCCTCTGCCCTCCCAGGCCCGCTGTGAGGACCACCCTGCGCGGAGGGCGCGCCAGCCTCAGGCCGTGCGGACGGGGAGCCGCCCTGGTTAGGCAGGTTTGCTGTCAAGGGCGCGGGCGCTGCTGCTGAAATCAGACTTCACTCTGGTCCAAGGCAGCGAACATTATTGTCAGTAAAACAAACTCGGGGAATAAAGGCAACGTGGAGGCCAACGCCGCCTGCCTCCGGGAAGCGGAGCCTGGCCACGCTCCCAGCTGAGCCGTGTGCCCCCGGGCGGCCCCGAGCCAGCGAGGCCGTCCCCAGCCGCCCGCTCGACTCCCGGCCGGACGGGGCTGAGTCGGCGCCACTCAAGCTTCACCACAGAAGAGAATGGCCCCTCCACGAGCTGGTGCCGGGGCCCTGGGGGAGGGGCTCCCTGAGGCGGGGGTGGGGGGCTCTGATGGCCGGGAGGCGGGTGGGGTCTGAGGGGCACCACTGCGAGTCCACCTCTCTCTGCACGGAGCTGCCCGACACTCCCCGGCACGTGGCCTTGTCTGCACATTTCTGAGCACGAGCTCGCAGCGCAGTGGAT